TATATGAGAGTTAGTTTAATATTTAATTTGATCTTATATATAAGATCTTAATACACTTTATCTCTCATATTATCATTTCTTTCAAAATAATCTATGTAATAGCTGCATATGTTAAATGTTTAATCAAATAATAGTTCTAACTAATGTAGTTGATTAACATTAGTATTTAGGAAAGGACAACACCTATTTATTACATCCGCCTTAATTATAAGAGCTGGTTGATTAATTTGAGGAGATTAAAAAAATAAGTTAAGTTAGTTATTTGTAATAAATATGTGTTGTCTTTCCTAAAATACCTTGCTAATCAAGTATATTGGCTAGAATTACTATTGTTAGAAAGACTATCTTGAAAACAATGTATAAATAGGAGAAATAAAGTGTATTAAGATCTTATATTTAGGATCAAAATAGAAGTCAAAAAAAATTTTATATTAAGAACTTGAGGTAGTATTATAAATAACTAATTTAACTAAATATTTTAATCTATTCAAATTACTTAAATAGTTTTTATATTAAGGATTGAGTAGGTAGTATTTTTCATTCATGCGACCCACTTAAACATATCAGCAATACATATACTTACATGTACGTGGGCACGGGTTGGTTTTTTCCTTTGTTTTTGTTTGGGGGGGGGGGGTTATCAACCCGCGTCCCTCACAAGTCACAATGCATCATTTTTAATTATTGGTGTATTATAACTGGTTATATAACAGCTCAAGGCGCATAATCATAATTGATCATTTTTAACAAACTCATAATTAATCAAATCAATACACTGATTAATCCACCGTAACCACCAACGTTCTAGATGGTTCGCATCAAAAGTCGCCACCTTACTTCGTTGAGGGAACCGGTGACAAAATTTCTTCAGAGGGATGACTTCACGCCTTCACCAATTCATCGTCCTTCAATCGGACGCGTCGAAAATGTGAATAAAAAATTGAATAAAATGAGAAATTTTAGGTTCCGAAGAATGCCCTTCAAAGGCAATGGTCCCATTTTGACAAGCAATCCATCCCCATGATCTTAAATATGCGTGGGATGCGAGTATTTCTCAACACAAACAACATTCGGAATTTGATCTCTCCTTGTGGAAAGTAAACTTCATCGTCTTCAATGGCTGAGAAAAAAGCAGCATTCTGATCATCGGAGGCACCGGCTACCTCGGAAAATTCATCGTTCAGGCCAGTGCGAAAGCAGGACACCCCACTTTCGTGCTCGTCAGGGAAAACACCCTCTCTAATCCCGACAAGTCTGCTCTCGTCGAGAGCTTCAAGAGTTCAGGCGTCACCATCCTCCATGTCTGGCCCTCATCAATTTAACTTCAATTCCAAACTCGTTTGAATTTCTTACCAATAAGCATTCTGATTTCTTTATGTTTCTCTCTGTTATTACAGGGTGACCTCTATGATCACGAGAGCCTGGTTAAGGCAATCAAGCAAGTAGACGTTGTCATCTCCACAGTGAGTTTTCAGGTGGCCGATCAGGTGAACATCCTCGCCGCCATTAAAGAAGCTGGAAACAAAATCAAGGTAACACCTTTATCATTGTTCCTTGAATCTCAAAGCAGATCCACCAGCTAAAAAGCTCAAATCTCGTGTTTCGATCTAGAAAACTCACATGCCATTCTATTATATTATGGAAACAGAGGTTCCTTCCCTCGGAGTTTGGGCTAGACGTGGATCGTCACCATGTAGTTGAGCCATCTGGGAGTGCTTTGAATCTCAAAGTGGACTTCAGAAGGAAAGTCGAAGCCGAAGGGGTACCCTACACTTACGTGGTAAGCAACGCCTTCGCTGGGTATTACGTACCAACTTTGGGACAACAGAACGTCACTGCTCCCCCCGGGACAAGGTTTCCATCATAGGAGACGGAAATGTCAAAGGTAACACCCCAATAAAGCATCCTATTTATCATTAATCACAACGAATCCGATCAGCTTAAGATGTGGTGGTTTGATCTTCTGTTACTTCCAGCAATCTATGTGACAGAGGAGGACATTGGGACATACACTATCAAAGCAGTGGAAGACCCAAGAACCCTGAACAAAATCCTCTACCTCAGACCCCCGGCCAACACTTTGACGTTCAACGAGCTTGTCTCTTTGTGGGAGAAGAAGATAGGCAAGACCCTGGAAAGGTCCTACATTCCAGAGGATGAAGTTCTGAAGAAAATCCCAGGTCAGTAGGTGGCCAACAAACTAAGGATGAAAGGATTTTAAAACCTTCTCATATTAATATGTTTGTGAATTTTGCAGAGAGTCCTATTCCGTTGAACTACATTTTGGCGGTGAGTCATTCAATGTACGTTAAAGGAGACTGCACTAACTATGAGATCGATCCATCTATTGGAGTGGAAGCTACGGAGCTTTACCCAGATGTTAAATACACCAGCGTTGACGAGTATTTGAACAAGTTTGCGTGAGAGACGGGGAGTAATATAATATGGAGGCTTGCGTTTTGTACTTCGTTTTTTCAGTCACTGTTTAATAAGATCGAGGTCTCACTTGCGGGATTGGCCTTGATCATTCACTGATTTCACTCTCTACTGTCGCCGTTTCGTATTATCTTCAAAAGAATATCAAGTCATGTTTTACTCTTTCCATTTTGCTTCTCTTGTTCCGCTTTTGTTTCCTATTCCATTGTCTGCATAGTCATGGAATCTTGAGCAGTTGGAATGAACCAAGATTGACGGGACATTCTAACATAATAAATATAATTGAAGAGGAGCCTAATTAATGACGGTATTCTGACATTATAAATCTAAGGATAAAATTCTACCATTTTTATAGAAATACAGTTTAAATAATTTTAATATTTAAAATTGTAATTGATACCTCTGTTGGAATTTACACTAATTTTTTAAAAATGTAATCAGAGTTGTAATTAGAAATTAAAGAATTAAAGAACCATATCAATTAGTATTGATTTTAGTGAAAATAATTATAATTGTCTTAGAGTCTTAAATAAAAAAAAAACATATTATAAAACGAAAGGACGATAGAAAGAAAGAGAGAACGAAATTAACTAACCATCTTCTCATTGCCTTGTTAATCGTAATACGAAAATTTTTTTTGAAAAAAAGAAAGAAGACGCGGGGCCCTTCTGACGGAACTTCGTAATATGAAAGGTGACCACGCACATCTCAACTGCAAATTAACTATCCTTAAGCGAGGTTGACCATCTCAAGAGCCGGACCGTCAAGTTTGCTGATTATGAGCATCCTGAGGTGAAATCCGGAAACTGTCCAGCTGAAGTTGATTCTTCATTCGGCTTGAAGGCTTATGAACTGTTAAAACAGGGCAGAGCCTCTTTTGCTTGGAAGCCAGCTGCATCATTGACTGCCCCATGACGACAAGAGTAATCCAAACAGAGTCGAGTTTAACCAAGCTCTCATTTCCTAGTTAAAGTCGCCCTCTCTTTCCAATTCTACATGTGGACCTGGTTGGAAATTTGAGCAATTCCAATACAAATGGTTAAAGAAATATTTAAAAAAATTAATAACCAACATAAGAGCGCAGCAAGGATTACATTCCACATTTCCAGCTGCTTGCTCCTGTCCTGATACCAAATAACTATTTATTCCACCTCGCTTAACAAGACATCATCATTGTAGACATCATTCTCACCAAGGAGTTTCCTTTCGAAACCATCGCGTCCTTAAATGTTCTTTACTTTTGTCCCAATAAAATGTTGTCCCCCTCTCTGTTTATATAACCACTGTCTTAACAAACACAGCTCATAATAACGCTGGTTCCCATGCTTGATTTTGCTGTTGTTATTATCTGAGTCTACTAAATGGAGAATTCGCTGCCGAATGGAATGTTTCCTCGGGCTCCGAATTCCAGATTCTCGGCTAGGGAGGGAAGAAGTGGGTATGAACCATCAGATACAGAGACAGAGTGGCAAGAAGTTCCCCGACATGAACGAGAAAGAAAGAATCTGACTCTGGGACCTGAAGAACCAAAAGTCCTCAACTTCAGGAATAAAAGTCCCATGGCACTATACAGAAGGCATCCTTCCAAGTTTGAACTCGAAATCTCATCTCCTGTTGCGTCTTCAGTAGCAAGCTCAGGACGAAGGAGACACCAAAGTAGATCGCCGTATAGGCCCTTCAGGGCCGACGGTGAGGCTCCATTTCCCAAAACTAGTTTGGATGTTGGGAGAAGTGTCAGTCCTTTGCCAAAACCTGACCTTGGAAGGCATGGATCTCCATATCAATATGAAAGAGAAAATCTCAATCGGCGAGCGGTGAACAGAGTAAGTGAGAAATCAAACCAGAGAAGATCAAAGACTGCTCCGAGGGTAAGGGGAAGAGAAAGGGAAGCATCCCATGGGAGCAATCCTTCAATAGGAGAGATCAACGAGATGGTTGCTGAGGCGAACTTTTCAAGAGATCCTGTTAATAACGAGCTCATAATAACAAGCGCAGAGTCGAGCCTACCGGGTGATATTTTCTTTTCTCGCGAATGCAATGCCATGATGAAGAGCAAGAACATGTTAACAAAACCAAACATTGATGATGAAACCCAGTTTGATAGCTCGAGACCTAAGATTCTCCCCCAACGAGACACCCCTTATCATCGTCGTCATCATTATCATTCAAACAGAGCAAATAGGAATCTCAACACTGTGAACATACGAGGCACATCATCTAGTACTACTGTGCTGTCTCGCTCGAGTACGATTACTAGTACTGCTGCTAAAAGCAAAAAGAACAGTGGGAATTTAAGCACTAGCAGTAGTGTGAAGAGTGATGTTAGTTGGACGAGTGCGAGTATTCAGAAATTCATAATGAACAGGAGGAAGAACCAAGCAGACGGATGGTTTGCTTGCATGAGAAAAGTAGGCAGGCCATCGAATAAATCGCCAGAACATCGATCAGTTGATGAGGCTTCTATCATTGAGAAAGCTTTCGTGCTCCAAAGCCTCCCACAATTCTGGGCAGATAAGCACCAACCCACCTCCATGGATGGCTTCATTTGCCACCAACAAGAAGCTCAGCTTCTCAAGGAACTAGTAAGTTTTTAAATATTTACATATTCTATTTACTCTGTTCCGCCAATCGTTTGAAAGTTCCTTTTCCATTCTATTTTGCTTTCATCCTCAGATTTATAAATGCTTACGTTAGAGATTACTTTAATCAATGATTAGATGGTCAAAAACATAATCTGCGAGGAGTTTTACGTCGGAATTTGTCGACCTAGTTGGCAAACTACTCAAAACAAATCAAAACTCGGATTTTGCAAGTCAATAATAATTCAACATTACTGCCTTCTGAGTCAATATAAAATCCAACCAAATCCCATAAGTTTATTTCATGACGTGTGAGAAATTATAACATGACTTGGCGCTTATTAATCTTGCTTAACTTGTGAAATGTGCATCTGCCATTCTCATTGTACCTTATTTCACTGATATCTTATTTTTCATATTCACAATTCGTATCTCTTTAAATTTAGGCGTCTCAAGACGTGTGTCCTCATATTTTGCTAAAAGGACCAATTGGCTCAGGAAAAAGAGCGCTGGCAATGGCTCTTCTGCGAGAAATATTCGGTGATGCGGTGTCCAATGTATGCTCCTTGACATTTTTTTGGCCTTTTTCATTTTCCTTATTGGTCAATTATCACCTGGATTTCTAAGCTCTCCTTATCAAACGCTTTTGCAGCTATCTCATGATTTAAGAAATTTCTCCATCCAGGTAGAGATTTCCGACCCAGTAAACTATTGCATCTTCAAATCCAATGCGGCGAACTCATGTCAAGCACTTACATAATTACATTGGCAGGATAGAAGGCCCGTGAAAATCACTGTTCCAATAACGTCCAGTCCTCATCACATGGAGCTCAATGTAAATTCGGAACCTAATGCTAAATATGCTTTAATGGGATTAGTTAAGGAAATAAGCACTGAACATGCGATTACCCCTGAAGTCAGTAATTTCAATTTCAAGTCAGATTACAAAGGTTAATTAGCTATCTGATTTAATTTTGGTACTACTTGTTGAGAATTATAGGCGAACTAATTAATTAAAAATGTTGTGTACTTCTCGTTTCTCAGTATTAGTTCTCTACGAGGTTGACAAAGCAGCTGACAACATCCAACACATGATCAAATGGATTATAGATCGCTATTCTGACATATGCAAGCTCATAGTTTGTTGCGAAGATGGTGGGGACATAATCGACCCTGTGAAAAACCGGTTCGAAGTTATCAATATTGATGCCCCACCAACGCATGAAGTAAGCAAACCGACTGTTGAAGAACGTTATAGATTATAGGTTTTTGTATAATTCCAATATTATCGTAATATATGAGTATTTAATTTATACACACAATATATCTTACATTTTAGAAGATATGGTAATATTCTGTATATAGTTAATATACTCACACTACCCCCGATATTTCAGATTATGGATGTTCTTATTCAGATAGCAAAACAAGAAGAAATTGATCTGTCCATGAATTTTGCTGCTAAGATTGCCACCAAGTCAAAGCAGAATCTCAGGAAAGCAATCATGGCTCTTGAAGCATGCAGAGCACACAAGTACGAACTTGAAGAAGGATTAAAATTGTATTCTGAATACTTCAGTAAATTATCTTCAAAATCTTACTACGGCATTGCGCTGTGCAGCTATCCATTTTCAGAAGAACAACCAATTCCGCTTGGATGGGAGGAGACTATAATAGAAGTTTCTGCAGAGATCCTAGCTGATCCTTCACATTCACGGTGACAGATCATTTTGGATTGGTTGTGAAGTTCGATGCATCTTCTTAGTTCGTTAATTTTCCCCCTTTTCCTGATCTTCATTATGGTCTCATCAGCTTATTCTCAGTCAGAGAGAAATTACAGAAGCTCCTGGTGGATTTTGTTCACCCCAAGCTGATTCTCCGGGTAACAAACAAAAAACCAGTATTTTAACTGTCAGAATAACTAATCAAGTATCATCGAAACACAGAATTAAAATGGAGTGTTGTGTTCCATTATGCAGAAACTGGTGGAACAGCTCCTCAAAGGAATTGAGAGCAACTTAAAAAGGGAGCTCTTCTACTGGCATGCTTATTATGTAAGCTTGTTCCTCCATAGAGCCTTTTATCGCACGTTATGTTTCATCATACCTGCTATATATATTATTATATATGTTTGTAAATTAGTAACCAGAGGGTGTGTGCATACATATATGGTTAACAGAACAAGAGACTCCCACCAGGAACTACAGCTTTACTAAAGTTAGAAGGTGAGGCTTTGAAAGATAACTCATAATTTTACTATAAGAATTTTTTTTCTCCCCCGTCATAAAAGAATTATATTATGCACTTGCGTGCTTGTGTGCAGAATTTGTGGCCAAGTTCATGAGCATGTACAGAAAAAGCTCTAGCAGTCGACAGTTTGTGTAGATTAAAAATCTGAAGTTTAATGGCTCACCAAAACAGGGGAATGATATTGAAGGTTCAATGCGAAAAGAGAGAAATTGCAGGCCCCAAGATTCTGAGGTTTTCCTGTTACACAAATTACCGAGCTCTTCTGGTTGATATGCAAGGACATGATCACATATTCCTTACGAGTGAACAATACCTATATATTCGCTCTTATGTTAGCGAATGCATTGGAAAGAACTTATTTGACAACATTTTAAAATATTAATACCATGAAGTAAAACCAAAAATCAGGTATCAGTACTATCAGTAGCTGATTAATTTTCAGGTGTTCTTAACGATATGATTTATTCGACACTGGGGAGGAAATATCGAACCCAACCATATTGATTATTGGTTTGGAATAACTTTGAACCTATTTGATCTAAGATGATACTACCTCGGATCCTTAATATAAGAGTTAGTTTGGCTTTTAATTTGATTATAAACATAAAATTCCAATACACTCTATTTCTCATATTTATCCATGTTTTTCAAAGTAATCCTTGTAATAATTGCACATATTAAAGATTCTATCAAATGGCAGTTCTAATTAATACACATAATTAGTAAGGGTATTTTAAGGAAGACAAAACTTATTTATTACAAATAACTAACTTAACAAACTTTCTCAATTTATTCAAATTAGTCACCTAGCTCTTAATATGTTAATCTGGTTTGATTTTAAAGTCAACCTGGTTTGATTCAACATTAGCATGTTAAACCTTATTTATAACTGGTTTTGTCTAATTCTTATTTTTATGTTATGCATAAGGAATTTCTTCCACGAAAACTTGAGATGAAGTTAATCTTCTGCATCACATCTTCACATACCTTTCTAATACTAAAATTAATATGTATATACAATTAAATTTTACAAAATTTTTTATTCATAAATACTTCTTCTAATCCTTATTATAAAATTCAAATAACTAATTTACAGATAATAAATAGTTAATTAAAAATATTAAATAAATTAAAAATATATTTTATTTGAAATATGTCTTAAAGTATTATGAATAATACAATTGATTTTGGCGGGCAAAGGTTGGTATACCAAAATTTAGGCTAAGCAAATAATACTATTGCTTATGACAGACAGGGTTCGAGATGCGGTATATGCGGCCTTTGTAGTTTGTTGGGCTTTCGAGAGTAATGAGAATCCAAGGCGCGTGAAGTTAGGTATAACGTCTAAAACGGTACACGTGGGCAGGATCAACGCGAACCGCGAATACTGAGGCGTCTAGTAAGATTTCCACTTGCTCTGCTTTTGGACTTCGCATGACCCTCCCAACACACTTCGTCCTCTCTACGCTTACCCCAAGATATGTTAATTTCACCTCACCACCCTCCGATTCGAATCTGTTACCATCCTACTGTTGTTATTCCCACACGTGTCATATCCCGATCTTCCTCGTCTCTGCGTACGCCCATAAATGTGATGCGCCTGAAAACGAAACTTCTCACTTTCACCGCTCAAGAATCGGATTCCTGTGTCAGTGGTTTGCCGTAAGCCTTCCTCATCTCTCTCTTGATTTCTATTGATTTTTTCGTCTTGCCGTGCGTGTCATCGCAACATTTTCCCTTCAAAATCAAGTGATGGTTATTTTACTGTCATTTCGGATTACTGTCTTGCATGTATTTAATGATAGCTGCCCGTGATTACTTGATTCTTCTTGGTCGTTCTTCTATTTGCTTTGTCTAATTCTTAAATATTCTGTCGTTTAAAGTGAAGCTCCCTTCGTACAGAATGTTTTGGGGTGCGTGTCGATTTGATCCATATTCATTTCATCTCACGACTAGTACTGTTTATGTCAAATTTTCTCTGAGCAACTGTATTTGACTCATTTCACATTACATATTTGCTGGGAGAAACAACATAGTTCCAATGTTGATTAATATCGTAAACCGAAGTGGCTTCTCCACTGTTGTTTTCATCGCGTCGAAACATGATGCTTAAGGATGATAGGGTGTTTTTTTCTGTTTATATCGTTAATTTCTGGCACAAGTCAACATGGATCACAATGGAGAAGTAAGTGTAAGGAATTCGGGATTTTCTCATATCGCGCTCAATGAAAGAATACTTGCTTCAATGTCACGGAGAACTGTTGCTGCTCATCCCTGGCATGACTTAGAGATTGGTAAAGTACTGTTATGGCTTTGTTGTCAGTTGTCGCCATTTAATTATCTTTTCTAGCATGGAAGTTTTGTAATGCTATATTACATAGAATCAAACGTATGGATCTAGTACTCCTAAAGTTTCGGTTGTTTTTATACAGGGCCTGGAGCTCCATCAGTTTTCAACTGTGTAAGTTGTGAATGTTTAATGTTTGGCTTTTTCCTTTTGGCCGATGATAGCTTATATTGAACCTTTCACATGCATAAACAGTAGGACAACCTTGAAAATAAAAAATAAAGAAAACTACCGTTTGAAATTCCATTGACCGTCTCACTCTGGGCCATATTCATGGCATTTCTGGGAAACCGTCATATATGTTTAGCATAAGCAACTCAAAAGGTGGTTCAGTTTCGTCAATGACATGATGATAATGGCAACGTTGCTGACATTCTGAGAGTGGATCTACAAAGTTTTACATTAGCAACATAGATTGGTCTGCTCTGGTCTTCTTCCATTTGCTGAGAGCAGCCAAATTCAAATATGGACTTTATGGCAGGTTGTTGAAATTGGCAAAGGCAGCAAGGTTAAGTATGAGCTGGACAAGACAAGTGGACTTATAAAGGTGTGGGTTCTCAAACTTTTTCAGTTATTGAATTCAGTTTATTCCCTTACCATCTCAACATTCTTTGGCATAACAATAGAAAAGGTTTTCTTAAGATAATTTTATTCACGTTACAATTTTTACGCATATTGTTGGGATTTTGTCAACTTCAATGCTTGAATGCCACCGAAGTTCTAGGGATTCTGATTTTTTTTTTTCCCCCCAGAATTTCAAGTACTCAATTTCCTTTGCAGAGCTCCCACCTAAGATGCTTAGACTTTCAATAGCAAGATTGTTAGTATTGTTGTTTAGGTTACTATATTGAGGAACGTGTATTTAATAAACAGGTAGAGAATCATAGATAATAGAGCGAACTATTGGCTTCAGATTGTTTATTTTGCTGTTTTTGTTTCCACCTATCAGTTATTTATGCAAAAGTTTTGTTGGCTAAGTTTATACTTGCAACCAAAATAAATTATGACTATCAGATTTACTGGAGGCAAAGTTTACTTTGTTTTATACTGATAATAGTGTTGTTTCTGGTTGGGAAAAAAATTGTTTTATAACTGTTCTATCTGTGAATGGGATGACATAGGTTGATCGCGTTCTTTACTCATCAGTTGTCTACCCGCACAATTATGGTTTCATTCCAAGAACTATTTGTGAAGACAGTGATCCTATGGATGTCCTGATACTAATGCAGGTACCATTGCTTAAAAGTTTGTTCATGATTTTTAACCAACATACCTGTTTTTAGCCCCAAAAATAAAAATTCTAACTTTATTATCTCTTAAGCAGGAGCCAGTGCTACCTGGTTCTTTCCTTCGTGCCCGTGCTATTGGATTGATGCCCATGATTGACCAGGTAAAAATTTCTTTCTACTACCAAGATATTATCTTCGTTTCATTATGTTACAAGGGGAACGCAAAAGAACCATCTGAGGGTCTGTCAACAACAGAATTGGTCTACCTAATTAGTCTTTATGTTAGATTTATATATTTCTCTAGTTGCCTCTCTGCGGGTTAACCGGGCATTTATCAGAATATATAGGAACGGTTATTGACCTGTTGCTTGAATTCTGGTGCAGGGAGAAAAGGATGACAAAATCATAGCAGTTTGTGCTGATGACCCTGAATTCCGCCATTACAAGGACATCAAGGAACTTCCTCCACATCGGCTAGCTGAAATCAGGCGATTTTTTGAAGACTGTATCCTGTTTGGCATTTAGCATTCACATATACATGCGCCCATATGATTGTTGGTCATTATACCCCGTTGGTGATTGGTTTTGCATCTCAAAGAGTTTGGACATATCAACACAATTCATGTAGCTCCCCTACGCTTCTAAGATATATTAAATGCTTACACCATTCTTTCTCATGAATGAATTAAATGGTTACACCATTGATGCATGAAAGTTTTCCGCCTTGGTCTGTTAATTCATTTATTTCCTTACGGCTGCTATGTTGTGTATCCTTAGCCTGACATGTTAGACAAGAAAAATGAGAACAAAAAAGTTGATGTTGAAGATTTTCTTCCTGCTGATGCTGCTATGGATGCCATCAAGTATTCCATGTTAGTACCAGCCTTTTCCTTTTTTGCTGACAAGTTACCAGCCTTTGTTCTGTCATAAACATTATCGGCTTCCCTCCCGCCAATTTTGCCGCTGTTTGTTTCAAAACATATACACCAATATTGGTTACATTTTTCCAGAGGTGTCTTTTGCTTTATTCAGGGATTTTACTTTGACGTGTTGCAGGGACCTGTACGCTGCTTATATAGTTGAAAGCTTGAGGCAGTGAGCTGTTCAGAAACTGATCGGGCAGGAGGATATGACTTCAAACATTATGTGAATGAGAACAAACTTAAACATTCTGATACTGTTGCTGGATATTATGCTTTTGTGGCAATATGTGCTACTTTGTCTGCTTGCCTTCTGGCAAAAACATGCATCTGAATTCTAAATGTAATTGTATTTCTTGATGTCATATTGTCGCTTGTGCAGAACTTGTCAGAATTAGGGTCCCTGTGGTAGCCGTTGGCTACTTGGGGCACAAAGGCATTGACCTTTTTTTTTTTTTTGTGGTGTCCCAAACTTGGGCTAAAAGAGTAGCGGTGATGTCGTAACTGGATTCCCCGTGAGTTTTCTTTTATAGTACCCGGGAAGAAAACTTGAAAAGAGAGTGAGCTTCAAAGAAGGGGCGACGCTCGACTGCCATTTTGCTTGGGATCCAGATTAACGGCAAAATGATGCTAGTTATTATCACTTACCCTTCATTGCTGGCTCAGGCTAAGCAGGCCTGCTAATTGCAGGTTATGATTGACGATCACGTGAATTATTCTGCATTATCCTAAACATAATGACCTCCTCTGCTTATGCAAATAAATTTAGGTCGAGATTTTCTTTCCTGAGAGGATAACATGGGAGGACATGGGAGCAAACGGAGAGTTTTAGTTTTATATTATTCAATTCAATAGTCTTTTGAGAAAACGAATTCTTTTTCATTTTAAAACGGGTGCTAACTGTTCTGCGTCCTAACAAACTATAACATCAATTACCTTTATCTGTGATCATGTAAATGTTCAGAGGGCCAAATAATAACAACTAACGAATGTGAAATGGGCATAACTATACACTTTTAAGTATGGTGCTTATCAAGTTGATAGATTGATTGTACCCACAAAAAAATTGATAGGTTGATACTTTCATTAAACATCTAGATGCTTTCAATAAATGATTTGTTCGCCGAGTCGAAAAACAACATAGCGCTCGATGATGTTTTCTGGCAGAATCGTTTGAAAACGGAATTTTACTTGCGGCTGGAAAAATATAGTGCGGTAAAAGAAGTTCCGTTGCCGGGAATCGAACCCGGGTCTCCTGGGTGAAAGCCAGATATCCTAACCGCTGGACGACAACGGAGCAGATGGTAGGCTGCCCCCTTTTAAAACTATATATCGTCATGATTCTGCGTAGTGCTCACCACTTTTGGGTTATCGTGCGCTGCTAATTCGACAGTAGTATTGTTGAGAGAAAGGACTCCCGGGCATAAGGTACTGACCCAATATGTTTTTTGGCCCACTTTCGAACGACCTGGCCTTTTCTCGCATGTAGTATCCTTATTTGTGTTTAGTTTCAAACTGGATGAGGACCGTTTCAATTCTTTTTTCCCCCGCCCCCTATCTTTCCTACGGAAAGCGAACGACATTTTTGAATGGGGCTCAAGCCCAACGGGTCAAATAGATGAATAATGAGGTTTTCGGGCATAAGCTTTGCCCACGAAACAGAGGCCACATGCCCCATATCTGACAGTCACAAAGTGGTGGGCGACATAAACTGGAGGCATGTATCGAGCAGGAAGGAGTTCTTTGTGTAATTGAATGATGATTTAAGTAAAATAAAACAAAAGAAACAAAGGGAAGAGGGCAGTGAGGGGAAGAAGAATGATGAGTGAATAAAGTGGCAGACAAGAGGGTCCCCGCAGCCCCCACAGTTGGATGACTGGGGAGAGGCTTCTCCAAGGTCCTCTCTTTTATCATTCCTTCAATTCAAATCTTCCTCCCAAAATTACCAAATTCTCCTCGCCTCTCCCTTTGACGCTGGCCTCCTTGAAAACAAAGCACAAAGAAAAGCAGACATGACCGGTGGCGGGCTGTACGGGGACAAGCGCCACCAAACTCCCCAAAAGAAGATCCCCTTCCTCCTCTGTTTTAACCTCTTTTTCTTTTTCTTACTTGTCATCCCTCAGGTCAGTACACGAACCACACCACCCTTGTTTCACGTTTAATCTCCTTGTCACTTTCAGATTCTCCCCTCTTGCCTTCTTTGTTTCTCTCTTCTCTCCCAATCTCTCTCATTCATTATTGCCTTTTCTCTATTCTTATTCTGCACTCTCCACTTGTACTTTTCAACGAATTCCTATTCTTCTTTCAAATTACAATTCAAGGCCTCCTTTTTACGAATTCCTCCTTATAAAAATGGAAGGAATGATCGTAAGGAAGCCAGGAGGGGAGTTTAAAACGTTAAGGTCAATCCATGCGAGTTGAAATCATGAAGGGAGCTTAACTAATGAGCTTAGGTATAAAGACGTGTCTGTCCATCCAAGTCAATAAAGAAGGAGACGGGTCTTGATGAGGAGCAGTCCACGTGGCAGCCTTGCCACTGCTCATTTCGCCGGTGTGGGACCCTGGCCTCACCTCATCCTCGTCGTCACTTGAAGCGTCAACGTCGGGAAAACAACATGCGTGTCTGCATGGTGTGTGTCCGTATTTATGTGAGGGAAAGGGAGAGACGTGCATGCATGTTACTTCCCTCCCAACTAACCTCATTCTCCCCACATCTTCCCCTAACCCTAACTACTTCTTCTCTGTGGCCTTCATCAGTTTCCATCCCCTTCTTCATTTATTTCATCATCTGTTTCTTCTCGTGTTAGTTCACTTATCATTTACTGTTTATCTCCAACGATAATTGCATGCACCTTTAATTAATATTGCCTTCGGTCTTTAATATAAAATCCTGTTTGATTTTTATTTTGGTCCTAAATATAAGACATCAATCCATTTTGTCTCTCATATTTATATATTTTTTTTCAAAGTAACCCTTCTAACAATAATAGTTTCAGTCAGTACACTTGATTAGCAAGAATATTATAGGAAAGACAACATCTATTTAGGACAAATAACTAACTCAGCTTGCTTCTTTAATCTCTTTAAATTAATCAACTAGCTTTTATAATTAGGACCGAAAGTAGTTTATACTTCTATTGGACGGCTGCTTCATTATATTACTTCTGGTGATTACAGATAACATAACACACCCCCTTTGATTCCTTTGAAAGAGGCTTCGTTCTGGGATGATGGTTGGGAGGAGAAACGTAGGTAGAGCAAGTGGGAAGAGGTTCTATGTGCTGGCAATTCTGTCTTTATAATGATGTGCTGCTTCCCCAATCATTATTACCATTTGTATTATTTGCCTTCACATCACAATCACATCATATATGTCATTCTAATTAAATCCTTTGCATATTGCCAAACACTTGTTCCACCGCAACTTCTTCCTCCGATCCTGCCATTCCCTTCACTTCTCACACAAGCCCAATGAATTAATAATTAATATCCAGGCACTGTCATTCAAAATATGCGTGTGTGTCGTTAACATATCACACACGAATCTTTATCGGCCGGTATAGTCTGATCTTTGAACCTGTCAAGAGACGTTTGGTATTAAAACCCATTCATTCATACACACCAACAGGATCGCCCCTGTACGCGCTGGAGTTGGTGAAAGGTTCATTTTAAGAAAATAATAAGCTACAAAAATACTTGTAATTTCACATATTATATCCCACCTCCTCAAAGGACACTTCGACAATTTTCTTAAAGCCAATAATACATGCATTATTATAAACTCAATACAATACACATATACGCTTGTGCGTGTCGGGTTGTCATTCTACATAATATATACAACAGTAGAGTACAGACACACACACACGCAATTAAATAAAAAAGTGCAAGCTTATTTGCTTTCGACAAAACATATGGTGTGCCGATTGAATAGCGCACGCATTTAAAAACATACTCCTTCGATCCTAAATGTAAAACCCTTATACACACTAGTATAATCTTATTTAGGACAGTATAATACTAACAAAATCTGTTTTCCCTAACTTGTTTGACTGAGTTTTTTTCCCCCTTGCAGTGAGAAACACATAAACCTTGTTACGTTAATGGAGTTCCTGAGTTTCAGAAAACGTAAGCATCCCAAAGACGAAATACAAATTTACAAGTGGTCAACTTATTGCAGTAGTCATGAAAAGTCTCCCATGTTCTTCAAAACCCCAATTAATCCAAAAACGTTAACATCTCTTTGCCGCGTCCTTACCGTCTGCCGGCTACACCGGTCATCCGGCCTTTCTTTAATTAATTAGTATTGATGGATTGATTTTAATTTGAGCACAGAAGACAACTTTTTGGGACAACGGAAAATAGAGGGAAGACGACGAACAAGCATCGCTTTTTATTTGCGTGAACATTTAATAAAACAAATAAAATATTAGCGCCAATTATATCCGTCCTGTTTTGTCATTTCGCGTCCTACCTTTTTCGGTTTTCAACATTTTTCTTTTGCTATTTCCTCTCTTTCGTCGTCCTCCTCCTCTGACGCTCCACAGTCTCTGCACTCACACAGAGGCAGAAGGAGAGGAGTGAGAGAGAGAAGAAGAAGAAAACACAGTGCTTCACAGAACTATCAAGAAGAAACCCTAGCGAAGCTGCATTTTGATGGAGAGTATCGCGCACTCTCGGCAGCCAAACAAGGTGTCCGCGGCATTTTCCAAGAAAAGCAATGGCAATCATGGGGGCTTGCCTGCTAAAGGTTTGTATGACGACGTCTACGGAGGTCCTCCCAAGTTCGGAGTTAACAGCCTCTCCCCTCGTTTCGAAGACTACGGTGAGATTTTCGGAAGCTTTCACACTGCACGCACATCTTCTATACCGATTCTGGATCTTCCGCTGGTTGATGAAAACGAGGTCTTCTTCGATATCCGCAGCTCCGCCTTCGACTACGGCGAAGTTTTTGGAGGTTACAATGGTCTAGATTTCGCGGTCTCCTACGAGGACTTGTTTCACCAACCCAACGTTCGGGATGATGCTTCCTCTGAAGAGGCCTGGTATGAATGCGATCATATTTTACGCCTTGCTCTAGGATTCCATTTCTGCATCTAATATTTAACACATGTTGAAGTGAGCGATCCTTTCGTAAATTGGGTTTACCTTTGTGTCATGGCGGAAAACGAGTTCTTATTTCTAATGTCCGAGATCGGTATAACGACTTTCAGCAGTCCAGGCCTTGATTTCACTTTCCTGGACTGTCGGGTCGAACTATGAGGATCGATCTTGTATGTTCAGGTGTTTGGACTAATGTTAACGTACTATTGATGAGTAAAACATTGCGCTGGCTCGTAGCTCCTCGTGGAACCATGGTGCTTGCTAGTTCACTTGCCATTATA